TTGTCATTAGTTAAGACAGCATTGTGTAGTATCAGAGCACCATGAACAGACCAGCGAGGTCTCCCTCCATTCCATACCAGATCATACCAAGGAACCTCAGGGGTTGAAACGCTACAAGACTCCCAAGCATCCTTAAAAGTAAAGGACTTATGATTCCACAAAATTCGATCCTCACCACCATAAATCATATTCTGTCTCATACACTGTTGGATTTCAAAAGGAACATCATCAACCCTCCACTGAAAGTTCACAATAAAAATGCTCAAATCCAATTGCTTGTTAGCGGAGACCATTCTCAGAGTTCTAAAACTGAACATATCAGTTAAATACATCCTTTTTACATTTATTCATCCCGAAAACATACATCATTAAGAGTAAACAAGTACAATACCACTATCATCCATTGCGTGTCCCAAAATTATACGAGTTTGATAGATTACATCACCAAAGTCCTTTTACATTGCCATTGAAACGATTACAAAATACTACAAGTTTATGCCAAAACTTTAGGAATATGGAATCGGTTACAAAAGCTGACAAAATAGATTCTACATCTATGCCTAAGCTCGTAGAAATGTACCATCCACCACTTCTCTCCCAGGTCCTAAAAATGTGACGTCCCGGATTTTTTCGATATTTTTCGGGCATTTCTTTTATTTTATTATTTTCCATGCAGTAGGATGCGTGCCATGAGAGTTCGGGTTTCACTTGGAGCACTTCCTTAGGTTTGGAATCCTTATAATCTTATTTGAATCCATTTCGGACATTTTCAAGTTTTGACCGGGAGACCCCGCGTGGGTCCAGGGTAGTCTATGTGCACGGGAATGGCGAGGGCCTAAGTGAAAGACCATTGGAGGGTGTTATTATTATATTTTTGGTGGATTATAGCATTAAAGTAATTTCCCGCGTGGGTCCGTGAGAAATCGGTTTGGTTTGGTTCGGTTCGGTTCCATGGTTCCTTTTTTTTCTTGTTTTTTCCTCTCTTTTTTTCCCCTACTATAGAAATATTCATATTTCAAAATCCAAATGCACAACAATACACCAAGTTAACCAACACATTCAGAATTGCTAATATATTTAGAACTTATAATTCATTCTTCTCTGTTATTTCTAGAACTGAAGTGAATAAATTTAAAATTGATAATAACCTAATACATTCAAAATTACTAATTCAACAACAAACATTCAGTCACAATTCAAAAAACCAACAAAATTCAGCCATTGTAAATCAATAAAAAATAAGAATCATCTAATAAATTGATAACACCTAAGAGAATTAAGAGTGGACTGTAGGATTGATAGTTCTTACAAACTTCTAAGTGATTTGGATTGTAGGATTATATTATAATTTAACATATATATAAATATATATAGATATAACTAAACGGTTCGGTTCGGTTTAGTGATTTGGATTGTATGTTTTCTCTATTATAAATATTCATGTATTGCAAGAGCAAAAATACAACCTTTTATCAATAATATTTCAGAATTCTTTATGAATTTATCTCTTATTTTGTGGATTCAAAACACCCTACTTTGTGGATTCAAAGTAACCCGTTCCTTGTGAACGTTTATTGCTTCCGCTTACGCCAATAGATTTTGAATCATGGACAACAATTTATAGAGTAAATAAGCGCTTTGAAATTTACTATAGTTTCTTTGTGAGACTCACCATCCTTAGGAAAAATAAATCAAATTATTTTTCTCCATGTAATTTTTTCATCTTTTAGTAATTTTTTATACAAAAATTCCTCTTTTTTATTTTTTTTCTTTGCAATAAATAAAGGGATAATTTCACTAACACCCCTTGAGGTTTGGCCAAATATTAGTCTAAAACATCTTTCGAAAATAACTATCACTCACATTACAAACGTTTGTTCCGTTTTTCACTCACAGCCCAAAAGTTAGTTGACAGGTGTGTCAGACCACTTTTTACATTTAAAAAGACATTCTTACCCTTTGACTTTGGTTTGACCCACTAAATTGTTTCTTTAATGATTAAAATTACATGTTTACCCTTCTGTTTGCATCTCTCTCTCACAATTTGCAATCCCTTAATCTCTATTCTCACATCTACTGAATCTTCACTTTCCGTTCTTCTATTTTATTTGTCTTGGATCAGACTTGGAATATGCCAGAGGTATGTGTTTAATTTTCTTCTTTAGTTTCCTCAACAACTCTTTTTAACCACTCTGTTTTTCTGGTGCTCCCATTTTGCTCTCTTACATGCATCTGATTTTCCCTCACTTCCTCTGTCTCTCTCTTAGTTTTTCTAAGTTACTTTCAAAGAATTTGTGAATTAGGCTCGCTCTAGACCTGAATTTGTCTCTCTCAGTCTCTTGAGTGTGTCCTAGAGAATCTTCACTTTTCTTCACCCCCCCCCCCCCCCCCCACCCAAAAAAAAAAAAAAAAAATTTCTTCACTTTTGTTTGTCATTCAAAATCAAACTGTGTATTTGTCTTGAAATCTCTTCCTTTAATTTCTTAGCTTTCTCGTTATTGGAAAAAAAAAAAAAAAAAACGCATCCACTCTTGTTTGTTTTGAAGTCTCTTCCATTAATTTCTTAGCTTTTTCCTTATATAAGAAACAGTCATAAGCTTTTTGTATTTCTATTGGCAATTCCTTTATATTCTGTATTGCATCGTCTCCTTAGAGAGAGAAAAAAAAGGAAACAAATTGAAAGTTGCTTGTGAACTAAAAATGGGTGACAATATTTCTAGTACTATTGGGGGAACGATGTCGGAGCCAATCAGAGACAGCTTGTACAAAATCATCAGGCGTCAATTTGGTTATTTGTTCCACTACAAGGAACACATAAAAGATTTCGAAGATGAAGTTAATAAACTCAGAGACGCAATGGGAAGTGTCCAAACAAGGGTGGATGCAGCATTGAACAATGCCAAAGTCGTTGAGGATAATGTTCATGCTGACCGAAGTGCAGAGCTCATTGCCCACGATGGAAGAAGACAAGAACAGATTACAGCAAGGCACAGAAAATCTCAAGTGTATTGATGTACGCTCGCGGTACCGGAATGGTAAGGGGTATAGAAGCGTCGTCCCTTCATAGAGAGATAGAGGAAACTGTTTGCATTCGCCGGTGGTGGTGAAGAGAGTGTTGGTTTTGGTGTTAGGTAATATGGAACGGCCATGACAACCACCATAACCGCAATGAAAACTCATAAAATTGATGTCCCACGCCATCTCTCCGCTGACCACACCAGAATTTGCACCAGTGAAAAGAAACTCATTTCGCCGTCAAACCCACTAGGATCTTCCATAGCTGACGCATTTGAAGTCTAGGTCTTGGCTACAGCAACACGTTTTGGGTCTGAACGAGGCTCGCTAAGGCCACGGTCGCAACGACATGGTGGTGAGGGAAGATAGGTTCGCAACGGCTGTGCACTCCACAGCCACGATACGATCGCGATGGTGGTGCAGCACTCCACGGCCACGTTATATGGTGGGTCGTCGCTGCTGTTGGATCTGCACAAGGCTCGCCGGAGTTGTTGATCAAAGTGAAGCTCTCTGTATTCACCGGAAATGGTGGATCTAAATGAAGCTCGCCAGTGGAGAAGATATTTTGTATTAAATGTGATTGAAAAATTAGGGGTAAACATGTCTTTTCCCACGTTTTTAACGGAGACAGTAACGGAAAAACGAAATTGAACCTAACTGATAGTTATTTTCGAAAGATGTTTTAGACTGATATTTGGCCAAACCTCAGGGGGTGTCAGTGAAATTAACCCAAAAATAAATGGTACTCAAGTATTCATTCAAACCTTTTCTTCATTTCGCTTTACTCAAATTAAAAGGAGAACATCAATAGCATGAAAGAATACGACTAATCATGTTGATAAGGATGGAATCCACAGTGTTCGATAACCAATAAGGATGTTATCAGGTTTTATCATGTTCCTGTTTCTTCATCTCATTCATTCCAATGGAATGTCTGTCACCACTTAGGCTGTGGGAAGGAGTATCCATTCATATATTATTGGGATCAGCCCACTAGAGAGTGACCATTACCACAACCTTTGGCCCACCAAAGATGGTACTGATACAGGCCCTGGCATGTGTCACTGATCTAAAAGTGTTGTGGTCACAGGAGAAGAACAGGGTATCTGTCATCAAAAGGCTTTGATGATTGATGAGGAGAGAGGTGGTGGCAGCTGCAACAGGGTCCCTCTGCACTCTGCTAAAGCAAGGACCGAAAAGGTTGGGGAGGGTAGGGTCAAGTTAGATGTTATCAGGTTTTATCATGTTCCTGTTTCTTCATCTCATTCATTCTATTGGAGAGTGTTACTTCTTAGGCTGTGGGAAGGAGTACCCATTCATGTATTATTGGGATCAGCCACTCTCTAATGACCATTATCACAACCTTTGGCCCACCAAATATGCTACTGAAAAAGGCCCTGGTATGGTCATTCCATCCCTTAGCATATTAATGGACCCTTGGAAGTGAAGGCACAAAAGATGGAATTTGCAAACTACACCCAAGAGTTGAATTACCAGGACATACATCACATCTCTTTTCATTATTTACTTCATACACTAGCTAGCACACTAATTATTTTTTGATCGTTCTATAAAAAAAGTGAGACACTTCGCAGACTTAAAGGTTGCAATAAAAAATGTCCAGCCAAGATCTTATAAATGCATGACAGGTTCATCATCCCACGTATTTGGGTGCAATTGCAGTTGTATTTGTTCCATCATCCATTTGATGGAATGACCATGGATCATGATAACTTCTGATCAAAGCTTTACAATGAGCTGCTATGTTATGAAGGCCCATGTAATATGGTTCGCATTTGTTTTTTTATTTTGGGGTAAACATAACAAGGTATACTTCACAATAACCCATTCACTAGCTGATATTCCTACTTAATGAATGCATCATTACAGTATCTTTTTCAGTTAAATTCACAAGCGAGGAGAAGTATGATTCCTTTATGCATGCAATGGCAGTTATGTAGATAAAGTACTGTGCAATTTTTTACCTTAGGCCATGGTGAATCTAGCCTGGCATTTGACAACACATGAACACCAGCTGAAACCTCCGTTATGGAGAGGTTATCTTCTTCTGGACGGTTGGTTATATAAACCATGGTCTTGGAACAAAGATCAGCTATTATCAGATTAAAACCATTATACTGATCTGCCTCTCCCACAAGCTCCTCTGCAAACTCCATCGGATTTTTCTTGCTCTGCAACCACAAAAGCTATAAGAATCATACAAGAACTTTCAAGAGGAATTAGTTATAAAGACTGTAACAGCCCTAAGAACGCGTCCATGCTCAAGTACCAAGGCCACGTAGTTTGTAATTTCGAAAACAGCATTATGAGAGTATAATGGACAAGTAATGTTACATAAAGCTAATTAGGCTCTGTATTAAGTTCAAATTTATTTGCAGTAATTCTAGAAGAAATAATGGAGGACATCCAAGAGGACATTCCATGATGCAAATTGTTTGCATATGACAGTTCTATTGGATACTTTTAAGGAAGCCTTAACAATAAAATTAGAAACATGGTAAAATGCCTTAAAAGCGAAAGACCTAAAAATTTGAATGGCTAAAACATAATACATGGCCTGTAAATTTCATAAAGCAGTAGAGGACAACAATACAATTGTCACAATCCAAGATAAAGGTTACTCAAATAGCCATTTTTTATATTTAGAATCCATTATACAACAAGATGCAGAGATAGAGGACGATGTGATGAGTCGGATTGGAGCAGGGTGGACAAAATTGAGGCAAGTTAGTGGTACTCTATTTCTATGTGATAAACAAATAACAAACAATTTAGAAGGAAAATTCTATAGGATGGATATTAGGCCAGGTATAAGAGGTATTAAAAAAGAAAAAAGATCAACGCATTCATGTAGCTGAAATGAAAATGCTAAGATGGATGATAAGAAGTTTTAGGAATGACACCTATTAATAATAAAATTAGAATTGGGTGGTATTGTCATATACAACAGAGACAAAGACTTTAGATGCTCCAGTAAGAAAAAGTAGCTCTATTTGCATAGGAGGTAAGAGACAGAGACCAACCAAAACTCATGCGGACGAAGTACTTAGAAATTGTTTTACAAAAATTAAATAAAATAAGAGACATGGTTTATAAAATAAAATAATGAAATGAAAGAAGAGAATTCATGTAACCAACACCATTTATATGGGATAAAGGTAAGGATGCTGATGACGAAAGCTATTTAGGAAATGTCATCTTTGACCAATATACAGTAAATTATGCTTGATTAAAGTGTAAGGAGTAAAATTAGTGTTTAAACAACAAAAAGAATGTAATTTTCCACTAAAACAGCAAATGCACCATGTCACAGTTTCAATCCGCCTAAACAAAACTATAGATTTTATTTATTTAATTTTTTTTTTTTTTTTTTTGGGTGGGTTAACCCATGGATTACATATGAATTTCTGATCAAATACACAACTGACCCAAAAATGTTAACCGTCATAAGATCATCAATAAATCACTATGTTGAAGTTTCATAAACACAGTTGTGCATGCACAATCGATGGATCACATATGAATTCATAAACAGCAACAACAACACCACTAACAAGAAGGCTGCACTTGTATTCTACCAAAAGATCAAATGTGAGTTCTTGGGTCTTCTTCACCTTTATTACATAGATAGAAAATTAAACAAATAGGTGGAGTGCGTGCTGATAAGATTGTAGGAAAGAGAGATTAAAGCAAGTACCTCCAAGAAGCGCACGGGTAGATCACCTCTGCTCTTTGCCAGAGGTTGTTTCTTAACCTCCCTAACATTTGTAAGGAAAGCCACCCTTCCACCTCTTGTACATGCCAACCACGTCCCACCCGCGAGCCCATCCCTGCCACCCACTATCTCACCGCCTTCCCACCATGCCAGAGGCTTCGTAGGCCTTTCAATAACAAAAACCCCACAATTATTTGACAACAAAAAAGGCATAATCTACCTTCCAAAAAAAAAAAACAAAGCCATAATCTTTGAAGATAGATATTTACAGTAGTCAATCACTGACCTATTGTGATATTCGTCTCTGTTGAGTAATAGAAGGAATGGGTAGATGGGATGAGATTGCCATATAAACACGGCTATACACATTGATTCACTAGTTTTTGTGAACCAATTGATCGGTTAAATTTCATGGGTTATGGTTGTTCTTTTTGTAGATGTCTTAACGAAGCAGCCGGGCAAACAAAATTCGTGTAACCCACCCAAATCAGTGAAGAAAACAACTTTGCTAAATTTATTTTTTTTTTTATTATTTTTTTTATTATTATTATTTTTTTTTTATGACAAAAAAAAAGCCAACAGGCTATTACAGGATCATCCAACAAACAAAACTAAAACATAACATGAGCATAATAGAACCATGGACACAGCAAACAAGACTACTCCAAAAAAAAAATCTATCATTAAGTTAAGACATGGTCACCGTCATAAGAACCGAGTTTAAACAATTTCTTTAGCAGGATATCGTCCAGCACCAACCAACATTGTAATTTTCGTTGCGTAAGATTGGATTGAGTCTAAACTAAAAGTGTCAGTCACTTGCGCCCCCATCCCACCAGATGAAACTGAATTTGCACTTGTAAACTATTTGGCGGACTCAAAGTAGCCATCTGACTCACTGTACCACCCGCCACACCCTTAAGCCTTTTATCCCCCACAAGCTGAGCTGCATAAGAACCACCAGAGACTGATTGTCGACGTTTTCGGCCTTTCATAGCCAAAGTAGATCCCCGACTATTAGATGTGGCCGAAGAATCAGATTGATTCCCTTTACCCTTATTGGGCTTCGCCTTTCCCTTCTTCCAGTCCTTCGCCATTTGGTCTCAACGCTCTAATGGTAATATCCTTCCCTTAATGGGAGACGTAACTGGAGCATAGTTCACATTCTCCTCCAACTGCATCGATGCCACATGACTTTATGATGAAGACCCCAGAAGCAAACCCCCTTCAGGCACATGAAATTGTTCCCCACCAAAATAAAAATCAACCACCACTCCTTTTCCTTGGTTATCCACAACAGGCAAAGTTTGTATTTCAATAGCTCTTATGGATCCCTCCTCTTGACCATCCCCTCCAGAAATCCTATTCGGATCACCAACACTTGACAAAGCGACCACCGTAAGTTGTAAATGAAGCGTCTGATTAAAGGAGGGTCTTCCCAAAGGTCTCCCAAAAAGCCCACGTGATTCACTAAGCCAGTCAGGAAATTGACGAGCCAGTGAGGAAGTAGGAGGATGACCCATTTTCTTTGCCCCATCAAATTTAGTATCATCCATATATAGCCATTTTTTGGTTAAGTTATCACCCCTACTGACGACGGCCGTTCCAATACGCCAAAATGAATGCAGTGAATGTGTGGTTCAAGAAAAGCCTTTTATGTCAAATTTAAATTTATAAAAACTACTACCAACACCACTACTAACGTAGCAAGAGTGAGTAGGGATCGTCCCAAGGGATTATACGTGTTGGAATTTCAACTTCGACTCTAGCGTACCAAATGATTGCAAAAGAGAGTTGGGTTGGTTGATTAAGCTAAATTGAATTCAACTAAATAAAATAATATAAAGTAAACAAGAGAGAGAGAGAGGTCTTGGAGTGTAGAGATCACCACCAAGCAATACTATTCCAAACCATAATCAAGTGACTAATGAGGGAAATGAATGTGTTGCAACAATGTTGTGTGTGTAAAAGACATTCAATTGGTAAGGGTGACTCAACAAGTGCAAATTGTCTCAATCAACATGTGTGAGGCCACAATACATCTATTGGTAGAGGAATATATTGTCTAAACATCATGTGAAGATAACAAAATAACAATTCAAGTCATTGAACCTTTCATTAAGCTCATAGTCCAAGCAATCCATAAGGATGATTTAGTTAAACATGCATTATCAAAACATCATGTGAGAGGTACAAAATATCTATTGGGAGAGGAATAAATTGTCTAAACACATGTGAAAGATACAACATATCATCACTAGTCATTAATCCTTCATTAAGCTCAAAATTCCATTACACCACAATATTAGAGCATATGCTTCTTGCATTCAAAAGCATGGAACATCAAAGAACAAGCATGAATTGTCTCCCCCATCTAACACTACACTACAACTACACTACTAGCATGAAAATAAATTAAGGGAGAGGTACAATCTATCAAGGAATAAGTATGAACCATCAAAAGACATAACAAGAACATTCCATTAAGCATATCATCTTGATAATCTCTAGATCTATAGTATCAATACACATAGACATGCATCAAAAACACTAAATCTAGAGATAAGCACATGAATATCCTACTCTAGCATACATAGACATATGGATAGAATAGAATAGTCAATTGGAAGCATTAAACCATACAAACCATGAAATAATCAAGATTTATATATACATGAATATCAAGATGTATCATACAACACTAATCCCTCAATAATACACAAGATTAGAGTATAGAAAGCATGCTTGGGGCTAACTCTAGCCCCAAGAGGATGTCTAGCCACTCATAGTAGTGATGATCCAACCCTCAAGGGCTAACTCCATGGCTACTCCTTATTGGTGAAGATCTCCTCCAAAGGTTGCTCTAGCTTCCTCCCTTCTTCCTCTCCAAGAATAGCCTCCAAGATGATTTTCAATGTGTGACAAGAGACTCTCTCCAAAAAGTGTATCATATTCCTTATATAGGTAGGTCAAATACACCTTATGATGAGCTGTGGTCGTGCAAGGCATATTCTCCAATGATTGGATGAAGCACGGAATAAATGAGCTAGACTTTAACTTTTTCTCGCTGGAGGAAGTTCGATTGATTGAACCTTTACTTGGATCGATCGAAAATGGGTTCGATCGATCGAACTGCATCTTGGATCGATCGATCGAACTGCATCTTGGATCGATCGAAGTGGTCTGACTCCTTCGGATAATGACAAGGCTGGGATATTTTCAAGATATTTATGGGGAAAAAGACAAAAGTGGTTGGTAGGCATACAGTTGTGGATAAGATCAATCATTTGAATAGGACAAAATAGGGTTCGATCGATCGAAGGTGATGTTCGATCGATCGAACTTGGAATTTCAGCAAAGGCCAAGGTTGGATCTATCGAGAAGTATTGTGATCGATCATAGATGTTCGATCGATCGAACTCTAAGTTGAATCGATCGAACTTTTCAGCTGCACAACTTGATTCCTTTTTGCTCCTTTCTTTCTCCACTTTGCTCCCTCCTTTGGTTTATCTCAGGATTGCTTCAATTAAGCTCTTATTTGGCTGAGTTAGCTCAATTTTGGGATTAGTGCCTGAAAATATAAATAACACGTAATAAGTCTAAAATGGCAAAGTAAGATAGATAAAGGTACTAGAATGCTTAAGCTTAACGGGTTTAAATGCGCACTTTTCAGTGCTCATCACACCCCCAAACTTAAATATTGCTAGTCCCTAGCAATGAACTAAGAAGTAAGGAATGAAATGAACAACTAAACAACTATGAACTAGAAAGCAATAAAATGATAGCGCCACTTTCGTAGGGAACACGATTGCATTTAACATATGCAACAAGTCTTTTAAACCCCTAGGTTACCCCTAGCGGACGAGTGAAGTCTCGTGAGGGTTTCCAGAAATGATACCCACAAACATTAAGCTCATTCTTTCAAAAGAGGCACCAATATTACAAACAAGCATTGGGAGAAAACTACCTCAAGTATGCAATTTTTCAATCGTTTCTAAGCAATCTCCCAAAATTTCAATATCAAGCAAGCAAGTATGGTCCTCCACATATCAAGAAAATGATCATGAAAATCGAAACAAGTCTAGAATCCATGTGAGAGATCCGGCATCAAGTGTGTTGCTATCTTAGCCAACTAGAGAAGTAATCACATCCTTACCCTCAAACTAGCACACAAATCTAGTACCGATCATCAAGATAAGAGAGTGGACCTTTTATTAAAGCTTTATTGTTCTAGGTGCGCTTATTCTTTTCACTCATTTTCTTCTTCTTTTTTTTTTTTAATTTTTTTTTTATTGAGGATCAAAGATGGAAATATTATGCAATGTGTTGATCTCTTAAGCTTTTTAGAAGATTCATGTAGCGAGCTTTAGGTCAATGACTCCCAAACCAGATGGCTTTAGGGCATTAGGTGTTAAGACACCCCAACGGACTTACAAACTCAAATCAACTAGGCTACAAATCAAGACAACAACCATCTAATCATTTCCCACTTCTCGCCTTTTGGGAGAAGTCCTCACTATACCATCCGTCTCACAATATAGAGTTATACTACCCAACCATCCGTCTCACAATATTACTATTGCAGAGAGAATTAAACATTACTAGCTTCACAGATTTAAACATAGTGTAACTACCTGATTAAGTCCCTACTATCCAAGCTATTCTAAGCAAGTAGAGTTAATTAACACCACATCTGAAGCTTTAATCTAACCATACACCCCAATTAGACCTTTTATATTCAATTCTGCACTCAACTGAAAACTCCAAAATCAACTACTGCATGCAAAACTGACTGGAGAACGAAGAAAAATAAAAATTCACCAAAGGAAACGTCTCCCAAAATGTGGAGCCGCCTCCTTTAGACCTTGGAGCCAGCTCCCACACTTGGGAGTCGCCTCCACATCAAAGGGAGCCAGCTTTCTCCAAGGGAAAGCCGGCTTTCTCCCTCTCTACCTCGTCTCTTCATCTTCCCTCTTCTTCCGATGACTTCTGCAGCCTTTAAACCTCACTGCCATGGCTTCCAGACACTGTAACCCAATCCCAGTATGTTCCCAGTCCACGTTTAAGTCTTTATTACATTCCATACATAGGTTTAAACAGAGAATTATGCAATTAAAGTTCACGTTTTAACAAGTTTACAAGCACACAACACATGCAGATATGTTTCAGTTTTAGCACAAACAGAAAACGTTTTTATTGATTAAATCAATCCTAGAATTATTTAGGAATGCAAAGAACACGAAACCTAAGCGAGAGAGTAAAGATAAAACTTGCCTTACACCGACGTTCGTCTCAAATTTCTGGCGAATCCTCTATTTGCTCTCTGTTCTTTCCCAGCCGTCTCTAAAACTTCTCTCAACCTTACAATGTCGTAAGTTTATTCTAAAACCCTAGGTAGACAACTTAGGTGAATATTTATAGGCCACACTAATCCTAGGCTCTCTTAAACCCTAATTGAATTTACTCGGCCCATAGAGAAAACTAAGTTAAATTGAATGTCGGCTATAAACTGTGTA